GTGCAATTGTTTCCACCTACAAACCCTTTGTCAGGTGACAGATCTGGGGTCAGAAAACTGCCCGGTGAGTTTCCCACTGTGTTTGGGGGGGATTTATTTGGTTATTGTCCAGTTGTGTAATGCCTGAGAAAAGGGTTCACCTTGGTGCTAGTGTTGCATTACGGCATGCCTTGCTCAGGTGTAGATAAGAAAAAAGCATTTACAGTATATCTGGTATTTATTGCATACTTTGAACATTTGAAGTGGCGAATATTGTGTTTTGATCTTAAATGCCATGCCTGACAGGATAATAGCAACCACTAGTTGAGACCTAAATATATGCAGCGCTTCTTTCCTGCAGCTTGTGACATTTATCCACAGGGATTAGCCGTATTGCTTATAACCTTATATATGTACAGAAACTGACTGTCTGACTGTCAAAGGCCCAATTCTCTCACTAATATACTGAACTAAATGGATACATAACACTTCTGCTTCTGAAGAGTTCCTTTTCTAACTTCAAGAGGATTCATTTAATCACAGGAAAAGCTTTTTGATCATGTTGCTGCACAGACTGCAGAGACATTGCCAGCACTGTAAAGAAAAGATTGTCAGTTGACTTCAGAAAGTGCTTTATAAATGAACTGGTTTTATTCAAGTCAAAAATATGATTTTAACGTGAGATTCTCTCACTAATATACTGAACTAAATGGATACATAACACTTCTGCTTCTGAAGAGTTCCTTTTCTAACTTCAAGAGGATTCATTTAATCACAGGAAAAGCTTTTGATCATGTTGCTGCACAGACTGCAGAGACATTGCCAGCACTGTAAAGAAAAGATTGTCAGTTGACTTCAGAAAGTGCTTTATAAATGAACTGGTTTTATTCAAGTCAAAAATATGATTTTAACGTGACTGAATCAGCCTGACTACATTAGGTTGCAGCAATGAAAGTCATTAAGGGCAGATCAGGTAGAAATAGCTCCTCAGGGTAATGACAGCACATTATTATTGTGTCCATACATGATATGAAGAATATGAAGGATTTAGATTCATTAAATCTCAATGCAGCTGGTTCTATGGCTAGCCATTTTAACATTTAATCATTAAAACATACTAGTATCTGTTGTTGTGCTACTTGCTTTTTAGCTACTAGTATCTATTCTATTAATTACTAGTACTTATTCTTTAGTTACTCATGCTTCTTACTACTAGTACCTTTTTAAAAGATGCTACTGCTTATTCATTAGATACTTTTTCGGTTACACTTTATTTCGATAGTCCACTTTAGACATTATACTAACTATAAGTAACTTTGTAACTACATGTCAACTAATTCTCATTAGTTTGCAACTACATGTGTACTAACTCTCAGAGTAGACAGGGTAGGTTTAGGGTTAGTAGAATAAGTTGACAAAGAAAGTGTTAGAAGATATTAAGCAGACAGTCTACTAATACTCTACTAACTGCTAGTTGACATCTAGTTGACTGCTAGATATAAACTCGTAATTGTAAGAAAATTTAATTTTTTTCTCAGAATTTGAGTTTATAACTGGCAATTGTGAGTTTATATCTCACAATTATGAGAAAAGAAGACAGAATTTTAGGGAAAAAAGTCAGAATTGTGAAATATAAACTCAGAATTGTGAGAAAAAAGTTGCAATTACCTTTTTTTATATAGAATTGTTTATAGCAATTCTGACTTTATTTCTCAGAACTGCGACTTCATATCCCACAATTCTTTTCTCACAATTGCAAGTTTATATCTCACAATTCTGAGAAAAGTCAGAATTGTGAGATAAAAGTTGCAATTACCTTTTTTTTTTTTTTATCAGTGGCAGAAACAGGCTTCCATAATTCTGACTAATAACAATTTGACCTAAGATGAGTAAAAAATCAGTTGTGATTACTAAGATAAAATAATTGTTACTAGTAACAATTACAAAAGATACTACTGTCTAATAAATAAGCACTAGTGCCTGATGAATTACTACTAATATTTATTAAATAGGTATCTATAGGTAACTAATAGGTAAGTACTAGTATCAAATAAATAAGAACTAATATCTAATGAATAATATCTTTAAAAAGTTACTCGTACCTAAGGAATAAACACTATAATTTGACCTAAGATGAGTAAAAAATCTGTTGTGATTACTAAGATAAAATAATTGTTACTAGTAACAATTACAAAAGATACTACTGTCTAATAAATATCTGATGAATTACTACTAATATTTATTAAATAGGTATCTATAGGTAACTAATAGGTAAGTACTAGTATCAAATAAATAAGAACTAATATCTAATGAATAATATCTTTAAAAAGTTACTCGTACCTAAGGAATAAACACTAGTAGCTAATGAATAAATACTAGTACCTAATAGAATAGATACTAGTAGCTAAGAAGTAAGAAGTATAAATTTTAAGGATTAAATGTCAAAATGGCTTGCCATATGTTTGAATCAGTGAATTTACATAATCATTTGTGAGCTTCTGTATGAGAATAAATTGGGTTTATGTAGATTTTATTCAATGTATTCACCATAACTGATTGATCATACATGTCCATGCATGGCGTCCTGCTGTGTAACTACAGTCGAGGATGTACTGAACATCACTGATCAGTTATTCATCACAGCATGGCTTCACGGGCTTCACGTACTGCTGCTAAAACACTCAGGAACAGAAGTGATTCTGCTGATTACACTGTGAAATCTGCTGTTTGATTAGATAACACATCTTTACATTCCTATCAAGTCTTCATTAGTCACGCAAAATGCCAATGAACTTTTCTTCCTTGGTAGAAAAGAGATGTAAACAGAAATATGTTAAAGGTCAGAAGATACAGGTTCTAAAGCTCCAGAGGAATCAGACGAGCTTGCCATCTCTCGTTTTGGATGGTCTAAGGCTGCTGGGTAGCGGCAGAACAAAGAGAAACAGATCTGACTGAACCTAATAGAGCAATAGAGAGTTTTCAATGTTTTAAACCGGAGCTCTGTTAACATGCCATTGTAGCGTCTGCGTAGCCGTGTGATTTGACTGTGCTGTTTAACCTTAAAATTTAGTTTATAGTGTTTTGAGTTTATTTGAGTGCCATCTTAACCAGATAAGTTCAGAAATGTGTTCTTAGTTGTCATGCATATTTGCATTGTGAGAGAGCAGGGAATCGACCGTCAATATAATACTGACAGTGCAGTTTATTGAATGAACACTTAAATAACACAATGTTTAGTGAACATGCATACATTCAAAAAAAAGAAGAAGAAGAAAAAACAGACCTTTTATCCTGTAATGCAATGCAATGTAAGTCACATGATTGCTCTCTCTGAAATGAGCTTCATGGTCGATATTTTTGCATGTGAGTGTGTGTGTGTGTGTGTGTGTGTGAGTATGTGTGAAAGTGAAAAAGAAGAAGAGCTATAGACCTGTGTGATACCTTTCATGGAGAAAAAAAGGATATATTTGAGGATTAACTCAGATTTATGGCATGTCATAACAATTTATACGTTTCAGCACTGACCTTTCCCTTAGCACTTGAGTGATAGATGTACTTCATTACCATGTTTGAAAAGTACCAAACGGAACACCTTCCCGTCAGAGTCGTACGTGATCAATCAAGGCGGGATTGTGGGTAAGAAGAGCAGGTTTGTGTATGGAGACGACCCTGATGTCATGTTAACAGACAGGCTTGACATTGAGGTTATGTACTGTACGAATATGTGCTGCAGGAAAACACAGAAATATCATTTGAATGCCAAAACAGAATAATTTCCCCTGTATTAACAAGTGTAAAGAGTAGGGTTAGTTTCTATTTAGTGTGTAAGCATTCTGAAATGCTTTAAGTAAGAGAATTGTCACACATTTATGGCCATGCATGGCCTAAAATTAATACTCGGCAAGCTCCAAACGAGAGAAAAATCAGTGTTGGTGATTAGAATAAAGCGTTACCTGCCAGTTTGCTGGAAAAATGTTTTTGTTTAAAGTAATTCTAACAATGCCTGGGAAAGCAATATGGTTTAGTGTGTTTATTATATCTTAAAGACATTAATAATGTAATTATATAAATATGTAATCTGATGCGCTGCGTGTTTCAGAGTTTGATCTTTTCGGTGTTTTCAGTGTCTTATAACATGCATTTGAAAATGCAACATTCCCCAAACATCTTTGTTGGTAATGAGAATAATTTATAAATCTCTTGTCAGCAAAAGAGAAGCATTTGAAGAGAAGCATTATAATAATAATAATAAAGGATTCACTCTCGTTTTTTAATGTGTCACTCCTGAAACTTCACAGTGTGTATGTGGCCAATAAAGCACACTGCACACTGTCGTCCCAGTGTGTGTTTGAGATTGTTCAGTTCCTCCAGTATACTGTGGTGGTCAGAAGCTGCCGGCGGTCCGCATCAGTTACTGTTGACTGCTGTTTTCTTCATTAGATGTAGTGAGACTCCTCTCAGTGGGCGGCTCTGATCCGTCATGTAGAGGAGTGTCACCTAATGACTTATTCATACCATATTTCCTCCTCTCATCAGTCGAGCAGAGCTTTGTATACACTGTCGTCTTCTGCGCTGCCTCCGTGCCGGATACAAGAAATCTTCCTCCCACTCGAGGGGTCTTAAAGAGCGGCTCAGCGGGTGGGCTGTGTTTGCATAATTTTATTGCCAGTGAGGAATAAACAGTCACTACCACACTTGATTAATCATGGTTCTCATTTTCCCCGCCGTCTTTTATAGACATAAGTGCTGCGGAGCCGCATGGGAATTAATGTGACAGTTTAAAACATGCTTGCTAATCCCTCACCGCCGAAAGAAGCTGTGATACAGCTAAAGTGTCTAAATGAGAATGTTTACCGTTTGTCTTTGAGTGTAAATCGCAGGATTACAGTGAATTAATTGAGACCCCTGCACTGAACGACTGTCCAAAAATGCAAATCGCAAACGCGTCCGTGCATAAATGCAAATGCATAAATGCCTTCGGACATATCCAGCTAATTAAATTCCTCTGGTGTGCTTTACAGGAGACACGTGCACCATGGCGGAGTACAACAAGCTGAAGAGCATGCTGCTGGACATGCAGCCCAGGACCTCCATAGACGGGCAAGCAAACGCCATGGACCAGAGGAGAATCCTTGTGGACACAATGTTCAAGTATATAGACAGAAACCAGGACGGCCGTCTGAGCAGTGAGGAGCTGGCAGAGGTGAGGGTTGCAGTTCAAAAAGATATGGAGGAATATAAGCAAGGAATAGTGTACCTTCAGCCGGTCATTTCGCTCCACTCTGAAGGGGTTTATTTTTCTATAATGACCGCCGGACTGCACATTATCCTGCATATTATGTCAAAGATTAGGAAATATTTCAGAGTCATTATTTACAGAATCATTCCAAACCAATAATCTGCTGTTTTTCTGTGAAACCCAATGTAGAGGAATCATTATTCTTCTATTCAGTTCACTTCCATTCATAGTGAAGTTGCTTGTTGCACAGCTACTGACCGAATAAATAAAATGAAATATTAATTTGAGTTTTACAGTTTTACCTGCTTATTATTTTAAAGCTTCCACTAACCCTTGTGAGAAAAGAAAAAGAAATGTAGTACACTTGTAAACAAATGTAAACACTTACATCACTATGATTCTTAATACACTTTTAAAACTCATTGCAATTTAAATCATTACGCTTTAATCATCTTTTGTCATATTTTAAAGAACTACACTTATTTTGAAATACATGTAAAGTACTAGATTATCATTTTAACTGTAGTGTTATTTGATATTACATGTAATGTTAATATATTTTAAAAGTACTAAATTTCAACGTCATTATTACAAATGTTTAATTATAAACAAATTTAAATACAGGACATACACATTTCAATAGAAATTACATTAAAGTACAGTATATTTCAGGTTTAAATGATTTAAATAAAGAAATAAGCACTCTTAAATTCAACTAATTGCATTTAAAATAAATTTAAACTATAATACTTTTTTCATGAAAATGTAATCTGTGTAACTGAATTTTTATGATTAGGCAATGTAAGCTTCTGGAGAGGTCATAGAAAGTCATGGGAATTCATCTGTAATAAAGTGTGGGAATCTTATGTCTGGGTCACTCACTGTTAAATTTACACTGCGCATTAGAGTTTAGTCAGACGTAAGGTTTATAAGTGCAGATCATGCAGCAAATACATATGAGTAAAGCCCATATAACATTAATCTGAAAAGACTGCAGCTTGAATTAATCTGACAGTGCTGGATTTCAGTTCTTTCACCAAAAATAAAACATATAGGCCTAATGATAAACTTCAGTTTCTGGGACAGAAATATGACAACAGTAGAAACTAATGAGAAAAAAAGAAGAAGAAAAACTATTGTTAGGTAGTGATTTGAACAAACTCCTAACACTAACACTGCTGGACTATAAAGCAGGTGAAAAAAATCAGACACATACTTAATTACACTGTTAACAACAACTTTTGCCTCAATAAAATCCTAATTTGCTGCATATTAATAGTTAGTAAGGTAATTGTTAAGTTTAGGTAGGGTGTGGATTAAGGGATCTGAAATATGCTCATGCAGAATAATATGTGCTTTATAAGTACAAATAAACAGTCAATATGCTAGTAATATGCATGCTAGTTAATAGTAAGAATTGGTCCTTAAAATAAAGACCTACTGTTAGTCATCTAATCTGTTTTCTGCAAAACTGGTCATAACTTTTTAAAGTCTGTTACAAAAAGGTACATTTCAATCCGAAAAATGCTTTTTACCAAATGGCTATTTGGTCAAACTCGTTCTTAAGACACAGTTTTAACATATTGGCTATTGTATGTTTATGTAACTGACCCGAAAGATCAGCAAGATGGTGACAATCCACCTAGAAATTTAGAAACCAGCCAGAACACTTTAGCAATGACCTAAGAAATGTTGGAGCTGCTCTCAATCAAAAAATCAATTTTCAAATTTAGAATTTTCTTCACCTCATCATTATTTAAGGTACAGCCAGATATTTCTGTTTTGTTGCGAAATACAGCTCTCTCTCTCTCTCTGTCTCTCTCTCACACACACACACACACACATACAGTACAACGCTTATCAGCTGGAGAACACTGTGAACAGCCACATATTGTACAAAAAGACACAAATGCCCTTGTGGAAAAGAAATGAAATCTAGCATACTTTTAAAAAGAGTACTTATTACAGAAATTATTTCATTTAAAAAGAATGTACTTAAGTGTGAACAATGTTTTCAGACACTTAGTTTCATGTTATTTCTAATTAAATGAGTGTATTATAGTTAAAATGTGCATATTAAGTGCATTTAGCTGAACTTAAGAGTGCTTTTTGACCCACTTAAGTACATCTTTATGTGCAATTTCATAATTCTATTGTGTTTGAAATATTGCTAAATGCACTGGCAAGCATTGATGGCAAACTAAAATATACTTTAATGTCAGATCTATTGAAAATCATATGCTATATTTAAACATATTTGTAATTATGAAGTTGCAGTTTAGTGCATTTAAATAATATTACCTTTAAATGTAATATCAAATAACATACTACAGTTAAAATGGTAACACTTTAGTTGAGGGACCAATTCTCACTAGTTGTTTATTAGCATGCATATTACTTGGATATTAGCTGTTTTTATTAGTAGCCTATACTTATAAAGCACATATTAATGTCTTATTCTGCATGATTATATTTTAGATCCCTTAAACTTAACAACTATTAGATATTAATAAGCAGCAAAGTAGGAGTCTACTGACGCAAAAGTTATAGTTAATAGTTTAAAAATGATCCCCAAACTAATGTGTGACTGATACAATTATAATCAAGTACTTTACATGTGCGTAAATATATTAGTCAACACATGCAATTAAGTTTCTTTCAGAGAGTATACACTTCTTAACACATTTGGCTTAACAGTACACCTAAGCTGCCTTTTATTTCATTTATATCATATCTGAAAGTACAGTCTGTTCTTTTAAGATTTGAAATACACCATAAGTGAACATTTAATAAAACTAAGCACGCTTCTTTTTCACAAGGGCAGGAGGGGGACGTGAGAAAGAGTGAGCAGGAGGGGCAGATTTCACTGCGACAGGAGCATCAGTCTGTTTTCACGGCTCCCATTAGCGCTGGAATTATAAAGACGTTTAGCTGCGCTGTCAGTGCCCATCTGCATTAATCCAGAATCTGCATGGGAACCAAAAATTGAGACACCAAACCCGCCTTCACTAGTGACTATCCCGAGCTGTGACACCCCAGACAGGACAAATATAAGAGCCTCCAAAAAATAATCACAGCTACCTGCTGAATCTAACCAGCCGAAGCCTGACCAGCTGAGATAAACGATCGATGATCTCCGACAAAGAGTCTCACTGCCAAAGAGGCAGAGATAAAGAGCAGCTGGGTGCTTGAGAAAGAGGTCCCGCTGAGAGCAGGGCTCCTGTGCCTGACAGCGGCGCTGAAGGTCTGTCTGACCGATCTTAGCTGCGCGGCTCATTCTGGCGGGTCAGGAGAAGGTTTTGCATATCAGAGGTCTCACTAGGGGCTAAATTACTGAATCGGACAAGGAGTTAATTAAACATGTCTAACGGAGACACTAGCTCTGCTGTCAGCGCCTCACTTACTTACTGAAGTGAATCTCGGAAGTGACTCATTTGAATCGAAGTAGACCTCACACAAAATCTGGATTTGTGATTCCAGTCGAGTCTGATGTTAGCATGTGGCTAAGTTAGATGATAAAGCACTCTAATAATGTCCATTAATATATGCGACACGCAAATATTGTGTCAAATAGTCAATTTTTATTAACATGAGCATACATAGCTGACATTTTATTGTGACTTGTTTTCAGTCTTGGATGAAAGTTTTGTTCCACAGTGCATTCTGGGATTGGTTTCTTATAAGAGATGCTGCTTAAATGAGGTGTATTAGAAGAAGACAGCATTATGGTTTTGCATACTTTCGAATGAAGAATAAATCTATGAAGCCTCAAAATGCTGTCAAGATAACCCTTGTGAAAAAAGTACTCTTTATCATACTTTATGGAATCACTTTAGCATAATAAAGTTTATAAAATATACTTAAATGTGAACTGAACTAATTGCATGTTATTTACAATTAAATGCAAATGTATTATAGTTTAAATTGATATTAAATGCACTTTAACCCCACTTAAGTATGACATATTTATATATAATTTCATAATTACTTTTATTTTTATATGTAATATAAAATAACACACGTTAAAATTATAATTATAATAATCAAGTACTTTACACATGCTTTAGTATGTTAGTTAACACATCAAACTAAGTGTACTTTAAAGCATGACAAATTCAGTCTTAGCACTTAGTAATAATGTCAAATATTAATCATGAAAAAGTCACTTAAGAGGCCTTTAATTTCATTAATATTTTATTATTTGCAAGTACAATTTGTAAAAAATAAATAAATAAAAATGCTACGAGTGCACTTTAAATACAATTAAGCAGACTTCTTTTTCACAAGGGACTGTAAGTTGTTTATGTTTGTGAATAAAGCTAGTGATTACACTCCAGATGCATGAAACACAGACTGGGTTTGAGCCGCACATTTGTCTTGCATTTTGTTGCTTTAGGAAACATAAGCAGAATAAAGCGCGTTTGTATTCGCTCTGGTAGGCGCGTGAAGTTCTTGTTCTTTGAAGTTGTTATTTCCCAAATCAGCTTTTGTGACTAATTGCACTTGGACGGTTTCCGTGGTAACTAAGGATGCCAGTCGTGCATGTTTAATTAATTACCGCGTGTCTTGAAACGGCTTTAAGATTCAATGCCCTTTTCTCCTCATAACAGATGGACACAAGCCGCCGCTGTCATTACCAATGTTGTCCTGTCCTGTCCTGCATCCATTGTGGCCCGATGTGAAGAGCCAGCTGTCATCCAGAATAAAATCAGCCATGCATCCTGTAACGCGTGCCACAATGTGAATCATCCGGAAGAGTCTGAGCCACCGCTATCTCTGTAAAGATCTAATTTGTGCGAAGGAGGAGGAGGTGTAAACGTGTGTCTGGGAATTCTCCCAAACCTTAACGGGTTTCAGAGGCTGGAAAAAGGTTTAATAAATGTGCATTTTTGCAGCCTCTTTGGATATCGGCAAGCTCGATTCATTCATGAATGATTCCTCAAATCATATCTCTTGTTGAGGAG